GCCAGTTCGGCTCACCGAGCGCCAGGCACTCGCTTTCGCCAGGCCCTCCGCCCTCGACTCCGACCTGCCACTCCGGCCTCGGCCCCTCTTAGTGCGATTGGATCCACTGCCGGCAGATGAGACAACCCAACTCTAGACCCTTTCCACGAGGCGCTCCTTGGCAGACGACCGTCCGCTGGTCGGGCCTCTAATTCGGTGAAGATGAGTCGGTGTGTAGGTGCGCGGTCAGTCAAACTGTTGACGCCTTGGATACGTGCGTTGAATGAGGGTCAGGGGCGGTTTCGACGGGGTTTGCCGAGTGAGAGATGCGGGTATGAAGAACCCCATTTTGGGGCATTCCGTCGTGTGGCATTTTATTCCGCCCATCCTCCATGAAGCAGCACGATCGTGAGGCCAGTTTGTAGCTCTGCTCTGAACAGTAATTTGTGATGCTACTTTGTACAATTCATTTTGGCCAATTGCGCTGTACATAAACCTTATAATCTACCTTCTTTATGTCGATTTTTGCCAAATACGAAGTCCATGGACTGACGAAGGTGGAAAGCCCTGCCTGTACAACTTTGCCTTTTGGGGGCTAAAAAGCAGAGGATGCTCGCTGAAACGCCACGCGAATCCCTATTCGTAAAACTTCTTAAGCGACCTGGACTAACTGAGCACTTTTTCTTTTATAACTGGGCTTTCGAGATACATGAAGTGTATTTGGACAAGTTAGTTTAAGGTGACAAGAGGAATGGTAGCTGAATTGTCCCACAATGATTAGGTTAGTCCTTACGTTTCCATGGAATTTCGCATAACTTTACTACCCAGAGCGAGTTCTTATCCAAAATGGGTGAATTACAGTTTCGATCTTGCTGGAACTGATCTCTTCCGCACCCCCAGCGAGACTCGAACCCGGATTCTGGCAGTTCAAAATAGAATCGCGGTACGTTAATACCTACGCAATACTGCAACAAGTGCCCTTGGATCACAGGGCAGATGTGAATTTGAGGGGAGCCAAAAGCCCTTTCCATATCACAACTACCAATTCCCTTATTAGTTCATATCATACTGGTAGACTCGAAAGCCTACAACTAAACGAAAAATAAGTACTGTAGTCTATTGACATTGCGAATACAACTTGGCTTCATCAAAATGTAAAATGGGAAAATGCCTGGCCTTCCTTGAAATACACATCTTTCCTGTTCCAAAAGGCATTCATGGCATTGTGGAGCTGCTATTCAAGAATAACTGAGAGTCTCGAAAACTACTTATATCGCAAATAAGTAATGCTGCTGATTGCATTGGCGAACGCATGTTTGCTTAATCGACGGTCCCACTATAAAGTGTGAATTGTGAGAGGTTCTTGCCTTGAAAGCTGTATTTGTCCTGTGACTCATTGGCGCCCGTGGTCGCGCAGCGGAGTTGACTCGAGTGGCAACATCGCCACGATACTGACAACTCGGTATCAAATCCCGTTGATGGTGCTAATGAGACGAGGAGGTGACCTCGAAACTGCAGTCCAGTTCAGTCCGGTCTGGAAGTACAAATTGAAGTAGAATTCAACGAAATTGTGTGAAAACGCAACTATCCGTCCTCAAATTATCTTAAGCTCTTATTCAGGAACTATTGTTAGTCACATATATTACTTATGAGTAAAATGAGAACTTCATTATACAGCGCCCGGGTGAATCTATACACAGCTTTTCGAGGGAAGCTGATGGTTGACTTCTGTT